ATATGACGTGCCCCTTTCACAAATGAGAGCCCTCAACATTACCTTAAAGTACATAAAGTAAAGGTGCACTTTATAAATCCCCATAGGACAATTCAATCCTCTGCATTTGACCCATCCTGATGCCACTAAGGCTTACGTCAGGAACAGTGGTCGCCGTAGTAACAGCGCCTGGGAACCCATCTTCAGATGTTGATGCTCGGCTTGGTCAGGACTACCGAAGCTGGAGGATTTAACCTAGTGTGCATGTTTTTAGTGGTAGGGGAAACAGGAGTACTTGGAGGTAACCTATGCAGACACGGGGAGAAAATGCAAACTCCATTCAAAAAGACCCTGTTCCAACCGGGATTCGAACCCAGGAACTTCTTGCTGATAAGTGAGAGTGCTATCCACTCAGCTGTCCACCCGACCCCAACAAACCTCAGAACCAAAGCAGGCCAGGACCTGGTTAGTACTGTGATGGGATGCCACATTCACATTCACATTCATTCCAGATGTAAAATGCTAGACTGCCATTGTGTCCTTAGGCAAGACACTTCAGTCACATTGCCTAGTATGAGTCTGGTGTGTCTATGAATAATTTGTAATTGGCAAAGATCAGTTGCCCCGGTTTCCTCAGTCTCCTGTGGCTGTGGCAAGTAAAGATCACGCAAACTCCACACAGAAAGGCCTGGAGGTGGAAATGAACACAGGACCTTCTTGCTGTGAAACCCAGACTCTATCCGCTGCGCCGTGCCGCCCACATGGCTACAGTAGTATATCATCACGGAGTACAAAGTGAGGGAATAATGGCATGTGTTGCGTTCTCATAAAAGTGCTCTCTAAAACCAGTACATTATCGTCAAATATATGGCCTTTATTGGCAGAGCATTACTCTCAGCTCACAATTCTGCACACATTTGACATGCTACAAAGTAACCATGACAACAGCCAATGTCATATTTGAAAAGTGACCTCTGACAAGTGATCTCATATGTGTTTTATTCTGAGCCCGTTTCAGGTGATTTAGATTAAATTTGTAAACATTAGTCAAAAGTGTGACTTTTGAAACTGGTTGATCCATTTTGAGTGATAAAACATGTCCTGAGATGTGAAATTTTGCAGGCCTGTAGCTACTTTGCGCCTTAGACATAATAACAATATTGTTTTGTTTTATGTGGTGCTAGGAGTTGTCTTTTAATATTTGTAATCGAAATGTTTGCTCCTCATAAAGTTGATCTTACCGGGTCTTACCATCTTTATCTCCTCGATTTTAAAGATTTTCTACAATTTTGTCATTTTTTATTTTCTTTTGCTAGGAAATATTGATATAGATTCTTAAACAATTAAAACACATAAACACATTTGTTACATTTGATTGAACTACTAGTGTTTTGTGCATGTTCAGTTTCACTCCTTGTCATTCTGGCTGCCCTGGATCTGTTTTTAATTGGCTGTCCCTGTTTGCATTGTTAACTGTCGGAAAATCTCTCATGAGTCTAAAAAGTTGAGCAAATGATCCTACAGTGTGATTAGGCTTTTACCCAGGACAACGACAAATACATGTCTTGAATGTTTTGGTAATACAGTTTGAATGAACACTAATATTCATATGACTTCACTAAATACATAATTTGCCAAGTGCTGAAGGTGATAACATGTTATTGTCTGATACAAAGTAGAAGAGAATTTGACCAGAGTCTGATTATTGCAGAGTCAGACAGATTCAGTTTCATGCTGCAGGACTAACTCACTCACAGCAGTCCAATGTTTTTCAATGTTATAGTCATGTTGTCGGTTGAAATGACAAAATACTGAATTACAACATTTTTTGTACCTTTGAAAGAAAACATGACACATTCTTTCCAAAAAAAAGTGTGATTCGTTTGTGTGGGGGCTCTGGGATGTTTTTTTTTTATACAAAGGAGAGCTTCTGGGCTTCTTTATCTACAGGTTATGTAAACCACATGTGGGGCTTAACCTTGTACATTTTCTGCCCCAAAAGCAGAACCTAAAAATATATATTTTTTTCTGAGGGAACAGTCCAAACATCATGTAACTTGTTTAACTTAACAAAGCTTTGCTCGCTGGGATTCCCTGAGTGTTCCCGTTTTCCCCCTTTATTATCAGGACTTGTTCTGTGTTTATGTTGAATGTCCTGTGTCTGTTTGTCGTACTCGTGGCAAAGATTCTGTTTTATTGCAAGACAAATTTCAGACTATTATGAATATATTTCATACATAAATATTTGGTATTTCAAAACAATGCCTAATATAAATTATTGTAGAAATACAACTTTTGTGCTTTAGATTTACTGACCCGTATGTTGGTTTTGTTCCCTTCTTCCTCTATGTTTTAACTTTTTACCATTTATTTTCTTTCAATATTTGAATATTTATTTTTGTTCTATTCATGACTTTATCATTTTCTGTTATTGGTGCTCCATTGTCTTTGTGGTACTATTCTGTTTCTATGTATATTTTCATAATAATAACCTAAAAAAAAAAGGATCAGACTTAGATTTTCAGTCCAGCATTATGTTTTCTATCTTAAGACTTTAGGTAACACATTAGAATCCTTTGTTATAGACATTGTAAAAAGCCCATGTGACTTACTACTATTTTTTACACAGTGGTTTCAATGAATTATAGATCTTGTATATATATATTTTGGGATATCATATTTTAAATGTATTTGTCTTTTATAAAATGTCCAATGTAAAGCAATTTTTGCACGGAATCAGGATGCAAAGTGTGTTCTTAATGTGAGTTTGAATGACAAGAGGTTTATTGTTGTTCAGGTGTCTGCAGCTTCCATTGAATTTCATTTTGAAAAGAGCACATATTTTTGACCATATAAGCTACTATAATCTGTACTGAAGGTATGTAGGGGGATTTTTACAAATTTTAAGTACCTCTCCACTTTTTGAACAAAGCTTTCTACCACATAACACCAGAAACATTGAAACGACCCATTGTCTTGATGATCCACCCGGATGTACAAAATTCTCCATTGAACCTTCAAGAATTTATTATAATAAACATAATAAGTCAATTCCCTCGGAATAAGAGTCACCAATCTGTCTGTCAAGGATTTCTAGTAATTTACAACCTGGAAGCTGTGGGGCGGGTCTAACTGCCACATGTCTTTGAAAAAAGTATCCCTCTCTTCCCAAACTGAACCTTACCTTCACATTAATCATTACTTTTTAGTTATTCATATTACACCATTGTAATTAGTGCTGTGACAGAACTACCAAAGATGTACCTCTGAATGAAATCTCGAGCATGTTAAAATTTAGCTGCTGATTGAACAACATGACCCGCCTTCCTCCTCCTCTCTCCTCACTGCCTCTCTCTCCCTCTTTACCTCCTCTCTCTCTCTCTCTCTCTCTCTCTCTCCTTCCGTGCTCCAAACAGAGCGGAGAGGCATCCAGGCTTTCCCCACTCACACACTCCTCTCTCTACAGCACTCACGCTCTGCAGCAGGACATACAAACATGAGGATAGTGAAGCTTGAAGGTGAGATTGCGTGCGCTGTTGTGGTTGTTTTGGCTTATGTTAGAATTCACACGCTTTGTAGCATTTTATTTCATTGTAAATGATGTCTATACACATTGTGCTGAAAATAGTACCACTAAACACACTCCATGCGTAGTTGGTTCAGTTTCAATGCAACTCTTGACAAATAGACGAAGAATAATACTTTTTTGATTTGTTGCTCTACTATTAATTATAACAAAGTTCATGTTCTCCTCATTAATATAATGAATGGCCGATCTTACAAGGGCTCAACTTGGGGGTTCTTTTGTCTCTTCAACTAATCATAATTGTTCAACCTGAATTTCCTCTAATGAACTTTTTTCATCATTTATTATAACACACATAGCATTACACATTGCTCTGGGGCAGAATTTCTAAAACTTAACATAGAATGTCTCTTAGCGTTCGTGCAAACACAAATAAAACATACGTGCTGAATTATTATTTTCAGAGAAATGTAGTGTTATGTGTTGCTGCAGTAGTTTGTGCTATTAACTCTAGATTAAAAAATACAAGGTCATTTGACAAAAAGACAAAAAAAATTCTAAAGCTAAGATTGTGTAACACTTTTTTAACATCCCGACCAAATATTTGATTTAAACGATTTGATTTTGTAGCTGTATCTGGTAATGGGAGGGACTTAGGGAAGGTTACTTAGGGAACCTTTTATTTACGGGTCACACGAACACGATAGAGGAGTAACTGACACTAACTTTCTTTCTCCTCTCAGCAGTGGTCAGCAGAGAGTCCAGCGGCCCTCTGATGAGCCTTCTGTTCTGAGTGGACATTCCGGAGGGATCCAGGATGTCCCCCAAACTCTCTGGTCACACCTCATACATCTTACCCCTGCTTCTGCCTCTGTTCCTGGCCACTCTTCTCTGCGCCACGCCCTGTCCGTCCCCATGCCTCTGTGCCAGCAACATCATCTCCTGTAGCAGCCGAAATTTATCTTCTCCTCCTTTCAAATTCCCTGGATACGCCTCACGCTTAGATTTGAGCCATAATGCCATCAAGGTCTTGTCTAACTCCTGGACCCACCAACCTCTTCACCGTCTGACAACTTTAACTCTAAACTGGAATTGTATTTCGGAAATCCAAAACCAAGCATTTGCTCAAACTCCTTCTCTGACTCATTTGGACCTCTCATGCAATGACCTTTCCGATTTGAACTCAACCATGTTCACTGGCTTAAACAAACTTCAAGAACTACTACTTTTTGGAAACCACATTTCCCACATAGAAAAATATGCATTTCAAAGCTTGTCACGTTTGCAAAGACTATACCTTTCTGGGAATCTCCTGACACAATTTCCTGAAGAATGTTACGTAGAGCAATATGGACCTCTGAATTTGACTCTCTTAGATTTGTCTTCCAATCGTTTGACACATCTGCCTGTCCAAAAGCTGCTCTCTCTCCAAGGCAAAAGTCTAATTTATTTGCAAGACAATCCGTTAGTTTGTGATTGCCCTGTGCAAGCATTGATGGAGTACTGGACTTGGAAGCAGTATCGCAGCATTGCAGATTTTGGTTCAGGATGCAAAGACAAAGTACATTTTGAGTGTGGTCTAGAGGAAAACAGCTTCGAATATGAAGATGTTTTTGAGTATCAAGTTGATCCTGGGGGAGACCTGACAATGCCGTGTCCAGGGATGTCTTCTGTACGGGAGGGGATGCTGGTCTACTGGGTAACACCGCAAACAGTGCTCAATTCCTCAGAGTACAATTCAAGCAAAGGTAGGTTCACTTGTCAAAGATGGCATTAAACATTTAGTTGGGAGCGCAGACACATGAAACGTGTGATTTTAAAATACATTTTGGGTTCCAACATCTGTTGATACCAGATGTGGACTGATATCAGTGAGGGGACAGAAAATAGCAGTTTTCACCTCAAATCACAGCTAACTTATTTCAAACTGGGTCTAAAAGTGTTAAATAACATGTTTGTGAGTTTTAAAATAAAATATGACATTCTGGGTTATTATCAGCCGCAAAATTATGCCATCACCATTATCAATTGAAAGAACCAATCAGGATATAATCAATTCCCAATCAAAAAATCAATACTGGAAACAATATCCAATACCAGTATTTTAACGGTGCATCCGTTAGCCTCATGCATTGGAAGACGTTTTAACTTTAAGTGCAAATGTGAAGCGCATCAGCTGCTGTCACCGAACAGTCTGTGACACATACTGTATGGGCCGGTAATCTGTCTGATGATGTCAAAAATTCCCTTTGACTGACATGTTCGAGTTGATGCAGAAGTATGACAACAGATCTCCAAGTTTTAACATCTGTATTTAATTTCCTTACAATCAGATACAGAAATTCCAACAAAGAGAGCTCCTAAATCTAATCCATGTCCCTCTCTGGCCCTGTGCTGACTCCCAGCCCCCTGCTCAAGCCAGAGCATATCAGGAGAGGTCCAGGAAGAAGGGGGCGTGTCGTATCAGGCAGCTTCCGGTCTGAGATCCGCCTCCGCACCATGTGGCCTCCTCTGTCTCGCCAGACCTAAACAGAAATCATTCACACACTACCCCTCCCTAATTCTATAGAAATATTACTTCCTTGAGATAAGACAGGAGACTCTCAAGGCTGTCCCTCCAGATTCTGGGTCCATCTCCTTCTCCAAACAAGGAAAGGATTAGCAGAATCAGATCTTGCCCCCCCCCCAGATTAACTATCATTAACTCATATTCTGCACTTTGGACCACAAAGGAAGGAGCTGAGACCAGGTCTTTTTGCTTAGGAAAGAGACAGAGTTCAAATCAGGGTCAGTCAAATTCACATCTGCTTTTTAGTCTATATTTAATACAACACTGAGAACTCAGAAAGGCAAATAGACCAAATGTTTAATCTGAACGGAATTCTGTAAAGCCGGTGTCACATCTAATCTTTTTCTTTCTTATAACCTGTTCGTGCTATGTCTGATATTTCTCACAGCACAACCATGGTCAGTCAGTCAGGGCGTGTGTTCTCCTCTGATATGACAAGAAGCAGCTCCGACGAGGTTCTGTTCAGTAGCAATAGCATGTTGGAGCCATATGTGAGATATTCTAAGCTGACGAATTTTATACGCTTTACACCTTATTTAAAAAAAATCAATCATTGTAAAAATATATATAAAAACAACCCAAATAAATCAAATCACATCAAACAGCTTTAAAAAAAAAAACGCAATAACAATAAAATTTACTTTGTTGGTTTAGAAATTTTAAACTGTTATTTAGCATGTGAGGTTGCAAGATGATTTCACAACTTTGGTTAAGGTTAGGGTCTTCCAGGGGTACTTAAATTATCAACTTGCAAACATTGATAAGTGCTAATATACTATATAAAATATTAAAACCATGTCAAAAAAGAAGAACATTTGTAAATGCAAAATAAAATGCTGGACCTTTTTAAATCTTGATGAAACTAATCTTGTTTCTCAATGAATTTCTAGACTCAACTCAGCGCTTCACAGTGCTCCCCAATGGCACTCTTGAGATCCACTCGGCACAGACCCAAGACTCTGGGACGTACGCCTGTGTTGTCTCCCGAGGACACCGTCTCGGATCAGGCAAATCATTGGAAGTCACCGTCACGATCCAAAACTCAAGTGTATCTTCTCCTGATGTGAAACATGTCCGCAGCGGAGGACACTTCAACACGGCCTTCACCACACTCGCCTCCTGCGTGATCAGCATCGTCCTGGTGCTGTTCTATCTCTACCTGACACCTTGTTGGTGTGGGAGGAACGGGTGGAGCTGCGGTGGGCGGGCCGTAGTGGTGTGTTCAGATCCCAGAGATATAGAGGCGGGGCAAAGACGGACCAATGGTAAGAGAGTTGCCTTCGTGGAGTCCCAGGTGGACGGCTGTAATGGGAACGGGATGCTGAAAAGTCCAGTGTTGACCCCTGGACAGGTTGTGACAGAGGGCATCCTGAAGAATGGATCGAAGGCAGCGAGGCTGGCCTCCACAGAAGCCTCCACTTGTGATGAATGATTTTTTTTGGGTAAGAAAACTTTCTTCTTCAGATATTTGTAATTAGAGTTTGTGTTAGTTTGCATCATTTCATATGATTATGTGAATAAGATGTGCCGACCATTTTGATGTTGCGATAGATTCTGATGTTTTATACTTTTATTTTGCACTACGGTGAACTCTGTGTGTTTAAATTAGTGTTTTGTTGTTGTTTTAGTCCATACAGATAGTTTGTTTGTGTAGGAACATTGTGTGGAAACCCGATACAATGTAGAAATAGGTAGTCAATACCACTGCACAGCAATTAACAGAAAGTAATGACACAAAATGTATGAGGCATTTGTACACAATGTTGTGTTAAAAAGAAATGCATTTGTGAACCTGCACTGATACAATTTATACTGGTTGATTGAATCTACTGTGATTAAGCAGTCACAATGAACATGCTGAATGTATGACTGTATGCTACACAGTCAATATATTATAAAATTGTTCATGTCTATAGAATCTTAACCAGCCTCGTCCAGTCTGTGTGTGGTCTTTTATTTTCCAAAAGGAGCGTCTCCTGTGGCCATTGATTGTTTATTTTGAAACTGACTGAAGTGCATGTAGTGAATGTGTGTTGGTCAGGGATATGGTTCAGATACGTCAAAGGATCAACAGTAGAAGCTAAACGCAGATCAATCAATCAATCAATCAAATTTTATTTATGAAGCGCTTTTCATACAAAAGATGCAACACAAAGTGCTTTACAGTTTGGTTAAAAACAATCCCGCCGGCCCATGTCCCCTCCCCCCGACCACCCAACAGACCCATCCCAAACCACAGACAAACGCACACACGCTCCCATGCACACTCTCTGACACACACACACACACACGCACACACACACACACACACACACACACAAGTAAAACAGTAAAACAATGATGAGAGACTTGGCAGGGTTCGGATGCAACCAGTTGAAAAAGCGTCATCCTAGGAGCCGTCTGCACCAGGAGCAGAGAGCCGCCTGTAGCCACAGGGGACGACACAGGATCTAGAGGAGACCCGAAACCGAGGCCCCAGGCCCCCACCAGGTCCAAGAGTCCGACCCCCACAGCCACACCGACCACTGCTCCCAGTGCAGAGGGCTCCTCCAGAGGAAACACTGGATACACTAAAAACAATATAATAACAATACAATATGTAAAACACAAAACTGTGAAACTAAAATGAAACTAAAATGAACTAACACACAATACATGAATAAAAGCAATAGCAATACAATAAATAATAGAGGATAAATAGAATATATAAAATGAAATAGTAAAAACTAATCAAAAGCTAATCTAAAAAGGTGTGTCTTGAGCCTGCTTTTAAAAATATGAACGTTCTCTGCGGCCCTGAGCTCCTCCGGCAGACTGTTCCAGAGACGGGGGCCGTAGTGCTGGAAAGATGCCTCACCGTGAGTGTGTGTCCTGACTTTGGGGATGGTTAGGAGTCTGCTGCCGGAGGAGCGCAGGGGCCGGGAAGGTTCATAGGATAAAAGCAAATCTGAAAGATAAGAAGGCCCAAGACCATTAAGACATTTAAAAACCATTAAAAGAACCTTAAAATCGATCCTGAAACACACGGGGAGCCAATGCAGCGATTTTAAAACCGGTGTAATGTGGTCCCGCCCCCTGGTCTTAGTCAGGACACGTGCGGCCGAGTTTTGGAGTAATTGTAAACCTGAAATGTTCTTTTTGGGAAGACCAGAGAGCAGGGCATTACAGATATATTAGATATTGTTGTCATAATTGTGATCTACTAATCATAACAACTACGTCACATGTGTTTCACTTAGACTTCTAAGAATATAAACCAGATTATATTGTATTGTTTCATTGTCTGTGCAAATTAGCAGCTCTTTGTTTTGGTTTAAGTCGCAGCACAAATAGTATTGCTTAGAAGTTCATCTATCTTTTCCCACAACTTTCATACCTGACATTAAAGGACCAGGTTAAATCATATTTCAGTATTCCAGACCTGTAATGATTTCAGTGCTTTTGTTGCCACCATGACTTTGCTCTGTATTAGTTTAATTTGGAAATAAACGTGTGAATATTTCATCTGTGAAACACACACATAGTGTTTCAATGTAGTTCTTGGAACAACATCATTATAGATAGATACTTTTTTTTTTTATCCCCGTAGGAGAAATTCAGGTGTCCAGTAGGAGCAGAAACACATCCATCGAAACAGACAAAACAAATAAATAGATAATTCTAAAAATATCTAACAATAGTATAAAAAAGCAGCAGCATTTTAGGTCAAAGCGGCAGAGGTGGAGTAGCCACCGGGGGCGGACTATTTTCTTGGCTCTAGTCCAAAGTGAAATGTCATGTTATTGTGTGTTGACCAAAGGCTTTTTCAATGTTATTGTATTTTATTGCAGAATACCACTAATAAATGTAGTGATTTTTTGCACTGCTCAAAATCCATAACAAGGGTTAACACTCTCACTTCTCAGCAAGAAGGTCATGAGTTTGAGTGCCACTCTGCACAGAACCTTTGCATGTTCTACCCGTGTCTTACAGGTGCTCTGGGGACGCACTAAAAACATCAGTGAAACATCAGTGTGCATTCCACTGATTGCTACATCAGTATAACAATCAGCGGAATACACAATTAGTTGTACAACCTACCTATTGTATTTTTCATAACCAGTAATTTGCTGTATGAACGTGTAACGATGCAAAATGTTGTGACAAATATTTGTGTAATTTCATAGGCTTTTGTTTTAATGTTTAATCCACAACTTAAAGTCCTGTAATGAATTTGAGTATGTTTTTCAATAAAAATAAGATGTCATATCTTTCATCATGTGTCGGGCCCCAGGCAGCCCGTGAATGATTTGAGGTGACATGAAGTGGGCTGTTGTCACTTCACAGAATCAGGTTTGTCCCCCCCCTGGAGCCTCCTGACCCACTTTGCTCTGTCCTAGTTTGGTTTGTTTTGAAAGGTGTGTGAGGTGCACTCTGTCTCAGGCCAATGGATGGATATCAAGCACTGTCCTTGTATGTAGATACCTGCACCTCATTCTTTTTTTACCCATAAACCACTAATGATTGATCCTTTGGCACACATTTGGGAAGGAATATGTTCAAATGATAGCTGCAAAAAGCACTTTTTTTCCCAATAAACAATAGAATGAAACTATTATATTTTCAGGGTTTCCTCGTAACAGTCATTAGAGCTAGAGTTAGGTAGATAAGTCCAAACAACATATGGAATATAAAAACTATAGTGCTGAGTATGTTTGAAGTATCTCAGTTGTGTAATTTGTTACACAAATGAAAAATGTTACATGTTTCATGTAATATCCTTTGCATTTGTGTGTTTTTTATTTATTTTTTATTTTTTTTCAAACGTGAGAATTATGTGTTGATGTCCCAACATTTATGGACTTGACTATAATTACCTTCTTATCGTTAATTTAATGTCCTGGGATGTAATACATGTGTGGCTGAAGGGGATTATATGAATACATCTCATCTCAGCGCAGTCATAAGAAATTGTTCCTTCTCTTAATTAGTTTTATTAATGAGGCCCTCCTCCATATAACCTTACAACTCACCATTTCTAAGAGACTGTAATGTAGGACTGACCTCCAAGAAAGATGACTCTGCTTCACTAATTGCAGAGACAAATACACACCAACTAATTTGGCCAGGGACCGAACCAAACTAAACCTGTTAAATGTAAGCAATACAGACAGTGATTTGAGATAGTGACACGTTTGTTTTTGCTCATATAGCCAAAACAATAACCAATAGCAAAAAAAACTTTGTCCGTAAACAATAACGGACAAAGAAAACAGCTATCTAGCAATAGTTTTGCAAAAAGGGTGTGTGTATTATAATTGTGAGGACAGTAAAATGGAACCAAAAATGAACACATAAAGACTGACTCAAAGCTGAAGATGTATTTGGATTGCGGTGCTTAGAGGCAACAAATCCTTTATTCAGTCACATTTTTAAATACTCTGTGGAAAAGTCCCTAAACCCTAAAGATAGTCAAATTATCATGTGTTCAAATAGGAATGGACATGACCAGATGCATGGAAAATAAATGGCAAGGCAAGGCAAGGCAAGTTTATTTGTATAGCACAATTCATACACAAGGCAATTCAAAGTGCTGAACAGAACAAGAAAGCATTAAAATCATAAATAATCACAGTACATTAAAAAAAAAAAAAAAAGAAAAAGATAAAAATATAAAATCCCTCAGTTGTATGCACAGCTAAACAGAACCGTCTTTAACCTGGTTTTAAACATTGTCAGAGAGGAGGCCTGTCTCACATCTTCAGGAAGACTGTTCCAGATTTTAGCAGCATGAATCTGAAAAGCAGCCTCCCCATGTTTAGTTCTGACTCTGGGCACTAACAGGAGTCCAGTCCCTGTGCTCCTCAGAGTCCGGGCTGGTTCATATGGGACTAACATGTCACTAATATAGTTTGGTGCGAGGCCATGGAGAGATTTGTACACAAGCAGAGCTGTTTTAAAGTCTATTCTCTGAGCCACAGGAAGCCAGTGCAGGGACCTGAGGACCGGACTAATGTGGTCGTACTTCCTGGTTCTAGTCAGGACTCGAGCTGCTGCATTTTGAATGTACTGCAGCTGTTTTACAGCCTGTTTGGACAGACCTGTGAGCAGGCCATTGCAGTAGTCTAACCTACTGGAGACAAATGCATGGATAAGAATCTCCAAGTCTGCTTTAGACACTATGTTTTTGATCCTGGCAATGTTTTTTAGATGGTAAAAAGCTGCTGATGTTACTGATTTGATGTGGCTATTAAAATTTAAGTCTGAGTCCAGTATTACCCCTAGATTTCTGACCTTGTTTGAAGGTTTTGAAGAAGATGGCATAGTCTGGGATCGCGTCTTTCATTCAGACAGAAGACATGTTTTATTGTCGATGGTAGAGACAGCACGAACAAAGCACACGATCACAGATACAATAGAATGCAAGTGTATTATACAGAGCAGAGGCATGGA